TAGGTGCTCCTATGTTGGGTGCATATATGCTTACAAAGTTATATCCATTTGTTGGACTGCCCCCCTTAAGTGTTATGAAGTAGTGACCTTGTTTGCCTTTGTTCTGAGGTCTATATAAGTATTGCTACTCCAGCTTTTATTTTCATGCCCATTGCCTGGAATATTTTTTTACCTTTGTTTTATTTAATTAATTACATCCTTTTTTATCATCCCAAAACAAGAGACTTGGCTCTCTATTATATGATTGTGATATAATAAGATACGTATTAGATCTTTGTCCCTATTCTTGGCACAGAGCTTCTTAAACCCCTGAAATTTCCTGAATGGTAGGGGTGAGAGGAGTATCTTTTCATAACAAGCCACTTTCAACTGAGTTATGCTAATAAGGTGACTCTAGGCAGATGGGGAGGTAGGTTGCCAGAGAAACCAATCCCTGTGATCTGAGGGCTAAAACTTAAGCCCCACCCCCTAACCTCCAGGGAAGAAAGTGAGCTCGGCTCGAGAATCACCTAATCAACTGTGGCCAGTGATTTAATCAACCATGCCTACATAATGAAACCTCCATAAAAACCCTCAACAACAAAGTTCAGAGAGCTTCTGGGCTGGTGAAGAAGAATGTGTCTATGTGTCAGGAGGATGGCACACCCCAAATTTCACGGTACAGAGCTCCTGTGCTCAGAACCCTTTTGGGCCTTGTTTTATAGATCTCTTCATATGGCTGTTCATTTGTGTCCTCAAAAATATTCTTAGTAATACATTTAAAATAGTAAGTAAACTATATATTTTATTACCCCATTTCAGTTAGCTGTTCTAACAAATTATTAAACCTGAAGAGGGGGTTGCTCAATTCATATTGGTCAGTCAAAAGTACTAGAGGCCTGGACTTGAGATTGGTGTCTGAAATGGGGTCAGTTGTGTGGGACTGAGCCCTTAACCTGTGGGGTCTGCACTGACTCCAGGTACTTGGTGTCAGAGTGTTGTAAGGAGAGAAAATTTATCTTTTCATGATTTATCATGTCCTGTTATATCACACCTATTTTGTACCTATCTTTTCCCACTGTTATATCTTAACTTTCCTAGTGTCTTCAAATCATTCTTACAAATTTAAATGCTCATCATAGTTGAACTGAATTCATTATCTTGTTTTTACTCCACATTCTTCAGTCTTTTAGCTAAGTGCCAGCACTGAGTTAGATCACAAGACAAAGATTGTGTAGGGAAGATCATTACAAGCAGAAGAGAAAGTTGAAAAAAGACCCAGAGATCATGGCACAGAGTTTGGAATGTTTGGTACCTGGGGATTAAATGAGAGGATAATTGTAAATAAGTCCAGATAGGTAAGCAATCTGGTTATGAAGAACTGAGGTTTACAGGTGTGGAAAATGAGACACATAGATGTCATTTGATCAGCCCGAGTAACAAAGGGATTAGAACCCTTGATCTGATTATTCCCACCATTCCGATCCAGCACGCTCACACAAACTCAGACAGTCACTGTATGCAACCATGCCAGTTTGGGACAATTGGCTGGCAAAAGATGAAGATAACATTAGAGAGTGTCCAGGACACTAGTGTCTGTTTGGTTTGGCCACATTATACCTCTCTTTGGACTGAGCATAGCAACCTAAACAGAGGTGAGAGCAATAGGAGGCAAACAACCAAGAAAATTAGGTGCACTAAAGACAATATCCCCAGTCTGAGCCCCTGCTTAGTGATACACAGACTAGTCTGTGTGCTATACTTTGAAGCAAATACCAAGAGTTGCCAGCTCCACCATACTTTTTGCCCTTTGCCTTACACTTCAAAGAACTAATATTTTCAATAACACCTGGGCTAAAATAATAAGCAAAGGTGTTGGCAGATTAAGTCATAAAAATGACATATTCAATAAACATATGAAATAATGTCTAACCTCAATCAAAGAATTTTAAAAACTAAATAAAAACACTTTAAGCTCATTAGATATCAGATTAGCAAAGATTAAGAAGAACAATAATAATTAATATTGGCAAGAACATAGGAAATTGGCCCTCATGTAGAATTTGATGGTTAGAGAAAAATTTGGCATAACCCTTCTATAGAGCAATTTGGCAATGTAGTTCATAAGTCATTAAAGCATGTTCATCCTTTGGCCTGGCAATTCTACTTCAAGGAAATTTAAAGAAACTTATTAGAGATGTATACAGTGCTATGTTTATTTCAGCATTATGGCTGTAAAAAAAAATCAGAAACAACTCATGTCTAATAATAGGGCAGTAGGTACATATGCTATGGCACAAAGATATAATGGTAAAATAACATTGATGTAACAGCATTCTTAATATAATGCTAAGTGAGAAATGTTGACTGCAAAATAGTATTTATAGTATAAAAACATTTTAAAATGCATACATCTATAACTGGCATGTTAAACAGGTAGGATTCATATAATATAATATAATCATATATATATAATATGACAATAATATAATTAGAATATTTTCCATTTTACTTAAATGCTGCCGAATTAAATGTGGGCAGTTCCATGACTTTTCTGCTTACTCTTATGTAATAAAGTCCGTCGTCACCTGAAGGCATAAAACAGTCTTGGTTCAGTACAAAATTAGATTGTCCAGTCCCGACTAATTCCAACTTCATTCAGAGCAGCCCTTTCCCCTCACACAGCCACAGCTTGCTGCAGATGGGTAGCGGATGTTTAAATTTGCCTCTTTTCTTGCATTGTGCTTGCGTAGGGTTTTCCGAGATGTCCCCATAGCCAGGCTCTGTGCTTCTGCAGCTCTTCTGGTGCGATGATGTGCTCTCCCTTGCTCTCTGCCAACGCCCCCCACCATGTCACATGGAATCGGGTGGTCACCCACAGCCCTTTAGGTCTCTCAAACTCTCGAGCCAGCTCTCATGGACATAACCTGAGAGAAGCCCACGACTCAGCCTCTACTGTGGCCCACGTCTTATCCTCAGGAAACACATACACCATTTGCCTGAGATACCCTGGAAATGAGAACTGATTACCAGTTAAGCAGTTCCTTCAATTGCCCACTACTCCCTTGACTCTGGGCTGGCTGGCCCCAGTAATCAAACTTCTCAGGCAAGAGTCACACAGCAGTCAGCCTTTCTCTAAAATTATAAAGGATATACCCATATTTTGCCGTGTATAATGCGCACTTTTTTGCCCAAATTTTTGAGGGAAAAATAAGGATGCACATTATACATGGGTGGTACTAATTCTTTATCTATATAAATGTTTTTAATTCTTTTATTTATCTTTATGCATAAAACATGTAACTCTAGAAAGCAATAATGATATCCATATGCAAAATACAATACAAAAGAACAAGTGTTTAAATATAAATAAGTAAAAACTTGATTTAAAAAATTAAAATGAAAGATTCTTTTCCTTATAGTTTGGGCCAAAAACATGGGTGCACATTATACATGACAAAATACAGTATATTAAGCTCTTTTAGCAATACTTTTGAAACGTTCTCTCTGAAGAAAGACTCCTACTCTTTCTTTTCTGACTGAATTTGGGTAAGGGGGCTTGTAACTCTAAAAAAAAAGGCTTTGGATTTTTTTTCTAACAACATTGAACATGAGATGTACCTTCTTAATAGATTTTTCAGTGCACATGACAGTATTATCTGTAGGTACCGATTGTACAACAGCGTTCTAAACCTGATTTATGTACAAGTGAAATTTTATACCTGTTGATTAGCAACTCCCCATTTCCTCCTCCCTCCTGCCCCTGACAACAACCGTTCTATTCTTTGCTTCTATGAGTCTGACTATTTTAGATACCTCATGTCAGTGAAATCATGCAGTATGTCCTTTTGTGCCTGGCCTATTTCACTTAGCATAATGTCCTCAAGGTTCATCCATGTTGTAGTATATTGTAGATTTCCTTCTTTTTAAAGGCTGAATAATACTACATTATATGTATATACCACATTTTAATTATCCATTCATCTATTGATGAATTGTTTCTACATCTTCACCATTGTTAATAATGCTGCTGTGAACATGAGGGTGCCAATATCTCTTAAATATACTGTTTTCATTTCCTTCAGATATATTCCCAGAAGTGAAATTGTTGGAACATGTGTAGTTCTATTTTTAATTTGTTGAGGAACTCCAGTACTGTTTTTCACAGTAGCTATGCCACTTTGTACCCCCTCCAACAATGTACAAAGTTTCCGATTTTCTCATCCTTGTTATCACTTGTGAGGTGATACCTCATGTGGTTTTGATTTGAATTGTAGAAGTTCCTACTATATTTCAGAAATTAACCTTTTATCAGAGATTTAGTTTGAATATATTTTTCTCCTATTCCACAGGTTGCCTTTCCACCCTATTAGTTGTTTGTTTGTTTATTTGATGTGCAGAAGCTTTTTAATTTGATATAGTCCCACATGCCTATTTTTGCTTTTGTTATATTCATGAAATCACCTTAAACTTCCTGGTTTCAAAATATATCACAAAGCTACAATAATTAAAATAGTATGGTACTGGCATAAAGATAGATATATAGACCAATGGAACAGAGTAGAGAGCCTAGGAAGAAATCCATGCATATATGTCAACTCATCTTTTGGTGCAATGGAGAAATATAGTTTCTTCAAACAAATAGTGTTGGGAAAACTGAATATCCACGTGCAAAATACAAAACTGAACCCTTATACCATACGCAAAAATCAACCTAAAATGGTTAAAACCTTAAACAGAAGACAGTAAATTGTAAAACTAAAAGAAACCATAGGGGGAAAGTTTTGGGGATTTCAGTTTGTTTTTTATAAATCCTACCAAGCAAGTTTTTCTGATTGGTCATTCACAATTCTCTTGGATATGTGGAATCTCTTGCTTTTATGCCTCAGCTAAAATTGAGACAGGCTGGGTTCCAGTGTAACCTACTGTTAACCCTGCTTTAAAATGCTGGGTGGAGATATAGTGTTTCTGCAGTATCGCTGGATGTAGGGTGTTCAACAATAAAATTCAAGTGACTAAATTTGAAGATCTAAATGACTTTATTAAGGAATTCATGAATAGGGCAGCATCTCATCTAGCAATTACAAGGTACTCTGAGGGGTTTTACTAAATCAAATATTTTTATAAAAAAGGGTTTGTGTTTTGTTTTTTTTTAATGTGGCAGGGGAGATATTAGCAAAAGAAAAGAAAAGAAGAAAAGAAAAGATTATTTTTAAACCAGAGCATCTTTTGAGGAGGAATGGCAAGGGTTTTATCATACAGATTGCTTCTTCCTGTGAAGGGAGGGAGAGGACTAGTGCAACAGATTACCTCACTGGTGTTGACCAGAAAATTCCAGACTGGTTCATTAAGATTACATTACTGGTGAAGGTAAAAACTGCAGTTAGGTCAGACGTTAACTCTAGATTTGGCATCATGGGCTGTAGCATAAGTGATGCCATTTTGGGCCTATGGTTTTCTCTTTAACAGGGGGATATGAATGACTTTTTTTTTCCTTCAAGCTTTTCTGTGTTTTCTAAATCATCTTGATAACTGCAATTTTAATTTCATAGTTAGAAAAAAATAACTTAAAGTGTTACAATGACAAATCAGAGTCAGTTTTGTTAACATTTGAAATTTCCTGTCACAATGCTGAAGACCTCCCTAGTGAACAGAATTCTGCACATTGTTAATGGCTGGATGTTTTAGTTATGCTCTTTCAAGTGACGAGGAACATACACTACTTTACCTCAAGAGATGGGTACCACTTCATTGTCAGTCTACAATGGAAAGTAAGGAAAACAGGAAACAGCCTCACCCTGCACAGCCAATAATTGGGAACTGGAGAGTTGATCAGGGTACAGCAGCATTCTGGTGTCAATCAACTGGGCTGGTAATCTGCCAGACTTTGGTTCAAGCACTCGGCTCTGCTTCTTGTTGGCTTCTATTGCTACTGCTGATTTTCTTCTTATAACTTTCTGCATGGACAGCAGTGTGGTGATTGCTGAGGGGAGAGGGGTATAAAAGGACTAAATGGTAATAGAAAAAATACAATGAAAAAAATAAATCACTTGTATACCTGTTAAAAAAAAAAGCTTTCCTTTCTGCCTCATAGCTTCTGCCTCTTCATGACTGTTGCGTCCTGGCTTCTACTCATGATACTGCTGAATGCCTTCTTGCTCTGTATCTCTCAGCCTCTGTGTCACTTTAATTTGTCTTACTTGTCATCATGATTTCAAGATATGCCAAAGGAAGGATGTGATTAAATTGTTAATCACTCTCCAAAGTAGAACACATCAGCTGGGCAGTATTTTTGCTCATATTTAGTTTTGGGGTCAAGCACAAATCCCTGGTTCAGGCCTGGTTTATTTAGGCTTTTTGTCCAAAGACCCATTGAGATTTTATGATAAAACATTTAATATATTATGAACAATGATCACAAATTATGTTTGTTATTGAAAGAGAAGAATTTAGATACTAAAATCCAAAAGTTAACAAGAAAGCAACTAATAACATATAACAACATTACCAGTAAAGTAACTTTTATACAAATGTTAAGATTCCACAAATAAGTTATAGAATTTGGAAAAGACGCATGCATTTGTACTGCTAGCATTACTTCATTTCACCTCAGGTACTGATTTTGTTACAAAATCATTCTAGGAGTGCTTTTTAAAAGTATGTTTGGGTAAATAAGTATAAGTACATGTAAAACCAAAACTTGATAAACTCTTCTAGATGAGAATACCAAATGAAAACATCATGTGTGTTTGGAACAACTGCTCAGCAGAGTAATAATTCTAATAACATTTAATACTATTCAGGGGGAAATGTTCAAAGTAATGCCCCTTGATATGTGACTCTGAAGTAATTTCTGATTAATTAGGGTGTTGGTTTGTCAGCTGGAGAAAAGCAATTTAAACCCAAGTGATCATGGTGAGGCAGGTTTGCTAGAGAGGACTTGGGAAAGGCAGCAACCATTTGGGTAAGCGTTATTATAAGAGTTATTTTTTTTGAAAATATACTACAAACTGTGATCCAAACCAATGAGCTTTAACTGAGGTCCATACCAAATTTTCTCTGACCCAGTCAGTGAAACCTGCAGTGGATAATGATTTGCAAGTAATGGACTTTCTGACTCTCCATGATCCCTGATGGGAACCTGGGGGCAGTACATTCGTGGTGGTGGCATTTAGGAGACTGCAGGGTATTTTCTCAGGATTCTGTGTCCTGAAGCAAAGCCTGAATAGCTATTTGAAAACTTTCTTTCCTCCTCTCTTACGTACTTGGTCAGTGTCTGTGTGTGTAGGAATGAGGCAAAGGAGTCTCATAACGCAACATTAAATTCTTTAAAGTTAAAACTACTTACAGAATGTTGAGTGTGAGTTGGTTTTCTAACATCTTCAAGTTTTCATGATACAAGTGTGAATTAATTTGAATGTTAACAATTGTGGGTCTTAATTGCAGTGGAGGCAATGTAGCCTTGTGACCTTTCTGCCTGGTCCTGGAAAGCCACTATGGGGCATCACTTACTGTCATCCTTGTGAAATTGCCTGTGCTCCTCCCATACTGATCCTCTTTCTGTCTTCTTTTCCTGCAGGACATGATATAAGAATTAACATTAAATTACCTGAATACAAGGAAAAAATGCTCTATGTTCTTATGCATAAAAATGAAGAAGAGGTATACTAGATATGCACATGTACAGTTCTGTCTCGTTACCTAACTCTACACAACTAGCCGTATAGCAGTATGGATGGGATGGATGGTCAGCATTTGGGATTGTAGTCATCTTAGGAAAGAAGCCATGAATGATATGTGATATGATATGATATGATATGATATACAAGTTGGGGCAAAGTAAGTTTACAATTGTGTGGGAAGTAATATAATATTATAATTAATAAATAATACAAGAATAAACTGTTTCACAGTCACAGCTATAAACCTACCTTTTCCCCACTTTGTATTACAACATAATAACAAATTTATATAAATATAAAAAATGCATACAAATAAATATATACTATAATGATAAATCTAAGATATTGAAATCATTCACTTTTCCATTCATCAGAACTTACTGGCTCCAAGCTGCCGTGCAGGTGCGCCAGTAACAGCCCTACATCAGACATGTCTGTCCAATTCCGCAGCTTCAAGCAGCTGCCCTACATTTGTAGAACCCTAACACCCAGTTTGCATTAACTCTTTTTTCCCACTGTTACACCTTTTATTTTATTTTCAATTACAGTTTATACTTAATATCATTCTGTAGCAATTTCAGGTGTGCAGCATAGCCATGTACTTTACAAAGTGATTCTCCCAATATTTCAAGTACCCACCCAGCACCATACATAGTTTTTACTATATTATTGACTATATTCCCTATTCTGTATTTTACATCCCTCTGACTATTTTGTAGCTGCCAACTTGTACTACCTAATCCCTTCACCTTTTTCACCCCCTTCCCTTTTGGCAACCATCAGTTTGTTTTCTGTATCTGTGGGTCTGTTTCTGTTTTGTTTGTTAGTTTATCTTGTTCTTTAGATTCCACATAGAAGTGAAATCATTTGGTATTTGTCTTTCTCTATCTGACTTATTTCAGTTAGCATAATGCCCTCTATGTCTATGTCGTTTGGGGCAGTGCCACAGGTTGCTGTTTGTCCCTGCTCTGGGTGACAACTGCAGCAGGGACAGAGCGCATCGCGGGGAGCGCAGCTCTCTGGGATCTGAGGGTTACTGTCTGGGGCCAGCTGAGAGGGGAGCACGGACTCTGAATCCCGCAGAGCCTGTCCTGGGGTCGTCATGGATGGGGGAATAAACATGAGTCATCGCAAACACTTCTCTGTTTGCCAGAAGAGGGGATGTGGCACATCCCCCTAGTGGGGAAGGCCCTACGTCCCTTTGTTCAAAGGCTTATTGAAAGGATTATTAGTGGGGCCAGGTAATAGGAATGCACAGGTTATCTCATTACATCAGTATGTTAATGTTTACAGAGAACATGATGTTTTGAAGAAAACAAACTGCAGGAACACACCGATTTACATGGGTATGAGAAGAGACTAGTAAATAAGAGAGATGAGTAAACATGAGAGTGTAGTAAACATAAGAGTGCCAAAGCTTTTAGGGTTCGAGTTTGTGAATAATGCTAAGTTTCTTCCCAGCATGAGCTGTCTATCATAACTTTTGAGGGAGAAACAAAGCACACCTTAAAAAATTTACTTTTAGGCCTGATTTCCCCTGGGAACCGCCAGATCCACTTTAGGACTGTCTCTAGTATTGTTTTGAGCCTGAGCCAGGCTGGGAGAGGGAGCCCGCAAGAGACAAGGAGACTTTTTTCGGATGGAATGAGGACTCCAGCCACGCCCAAGCCGAGCTGAGGGATGCGGGCATTTTTGCCCTTTCTCCCTGACTGCCAAGTCCATGTCTACAGCCCATACCAACTGATGTCTATCTTTGGTTGTTTATCCTCATGAGAAAACTTACCCCTCATTAACAACCAACCGTCACAGGGCCCAGCAGGGTGATGTGAGGGAGTCAAGGGAGACAGGTTTTGTCTCCTGTTTTCCCGAGGCCTCCTTGATTATTTCCAGCCTTGGAACCCTCTCGCCTGTCAGCAGGGTTACAGTTCCTGAAACCAGACAGGGTGTTTCCTAACAGGCCTACCCATGGTATCACAAAAGGTCAGATTTCATTTCTTTTTATGGCCAAGTAATATTCCATTGTGTATATGTACAACAGCTTTTTTTCTCCACTCCTCTATCAATGGACATGTGGGTTGCTTCCATGTCTTGGCTATTGTACATAATGCAGCCAATTTGCATTAACTCTACCTTATAAATTTCAGTGGAAATTGTCTGAGTATCTATGTAAATAGGAATAAGTAAGAAACAAAAGCTAAAAACTCTAGTTTTTAATTCTCTTATATTTATTTGTTGGTTCTTCAACAAATATTCAGTCACTGCTTGCTCTGGGTTGAGAAGGTCTGGTATTCTGCTTAGTGAGCTGACAATCTAGTGGCAAGACAACTGGGATGAAAAAAGTGCAGAGACAGGCAAGGGTGGAACAATTCAGGCTCTGGAAAAATAATACCTGTACTCACTCAACACATGCTATGTGGGTAGGTGGGGTCTGAAGCTAAGTAGAAGCTTAGCTCTTTCACTCACCACTTTATAACCATTTTTACTGTAAAATGAGTGAAACTGTTACCGAACAGAGGGACCCATGGGGGGGGCATGGCCAGATGCTATTACTGAAACAACGACACCGTCCTTTCCCGGGACCCCTCGGTTGTGGGTCCTTTGCCCACCACCCTTGGAATTATGGCTCTGAATGGCAGAGTTTGGTGAGAAGGAAAAGGAACTATTTATTCAAAAGTTATACAGGTTTGATTAATGGCTAAATGTCATCTTTAAACCTCAAAATCCCTTCAAAACAATCACCAGCACACACACCGTCCTGCCTTCCCCCTTTTGCCCAGTCAGGCCAGTCAGGGGTACCCTACTTCAGAGGAAAAAGAACAGAAGTCCGGGGCTCAGCTAGGCAGGCCTCTCGCAGATCTCAGCACCATCTACCTCGTCGCCACGATCTCCACCTCTTAATCCATAACCATGTGGCACCTTCTCATGGCCACTAGCAAGAGTCCTTTCTCCCTTCTTTCTTCCTGTGTGGTCTTCACACTGTTCCCCAGAGTCTGTGTCCCTTTTTCTCTCCTGCAGGACCCTGTCTCTCCTCCCTTTCTCCCAGTTACATTCTGTATTAAGTCTTTTAAACCTTCCTGATTAGCTTTGGTGATATGCCAAATAATCCTCTTTGCAAAAGAGGAACGAAGCTATCCTGTTATTGACGAGCAAACTGACTTCTCAATGGCCCTGCTCAAGGCTCCCATCCCCCATGGCGGCCCACCCTGGGGTGGGGAATATATTTTTCTTGGACACCCCAATCTCTGGACCCTATTACAATAAACTTTGGCGGGGGGCCCTGGCTGTGCCCCATTACCATAGGGCAATTGACACCTGAGAACAGTGTGAACGACTGGGGCTCTTCAGGCTAAAATACAAAGGCCCAAACAGGTACATGACAGGTAATTCAATGTAGTTTGATAGATACAGAGGTGACACTGGATGCTTTCCTGGATGGTTTGAATAAAAAGGATAAATGGGTATTAAAAGATAAGATAAACCTAGGAAATCAGAAATGCCCTCATAGCTACATAAAGAATTGGCCCTTAAACTCTAAGTCCTTAGAGTGGACAGCTAGTCTTTCTTTATGTTTATTTTGTAATACGTTTATTGACTTCTGAGAGAGAGAGAGAGAGAAAAAAACATCAATGTAAGAGAGAAGCATCAATCAGTTTCCTCCACTACATACTCCGACTGGGGATTCGAACCTGCAACCAAGGTATGTGCCCTAACCGGGAATAGAACCCCCAACCTTTTTGTGTAGTGGACAACACTCCAACCAACTGAGCCACCTGGCCAGAGAAAGAGCTAGACTTTCTACAGCACCTTCTTTAGGATGATTAATTGGAAAGACAGCACTTACTGCGATCTGAACCATTATGGGAATTACACATCATTAGTGTGACTTTGACACTTTATTTTTTTTCCTTCTGTTGTGACTGTATGTTGTGTGAGAATAAATGTCCAGGAAGGTTATAATTCTCAATTTGAATATACAGAAAAGACTTTTATTCTAGATTGGGCGGTCTCAGCCACAGCCATTCATGTTTAAATAGGCTGTATTTTCTAGCTTGGCTTGCATGCAGGGGCCATTACGTTGCTGCTACTCTTGTGAGTTCTAAAGATTTGTTGTTTTTGTTGTTACTTGCTTTAGTGTATCACTTTCCTTATCTGAGCCTCCCTTCCCTCAGACTTCCTTTTATGGTTTAACTTTACTATTCTCAAAAGAACACACTTTTTCTATACACCTGCTTGCTTTTCCTAATCCTTCCACTTCCCTGGGTTTTGTCTGTCAGCTGAACCAAAGAGCAGGTTGATGTTAGTGGAAAAGCTCTCAAAAAACAGTCTTGTTAGAAGGTCAACAGGGAGAGGAGGCAGGCCCTTGACTGAAAAGCTGCTGGGGCAGCCACTGACCAGGGGTTTTGTTTTTTTCACTCTGTCCCTCCCTGGTAGAGAACTCACAATAGTTGTCCTAAAGCTTTCCCTAGAGGATGAGCCATAATACATCTGTAGCTGGAAGTATCAGCTTTCCGGAGCAGAAAAACAAAGGGGCAATACTTTTCTGAGTTCCCTTGGGCCTTCAGAGTTTTAAAAAGGTCCTTCCATGGACAGGCTGACCCAGCTTCCATTGCAGCATTACTCCAATGGTTAAGCTCTGACTTGGGATACAGTTTCCACCTTATGCACCCCATTTGTGCTTTTCTGTGTGTTTTGGCTGCTGGGCCATATGAAACAAAAAGGTGCTTGAATTCCTGTGTGAGGTGAAAACTTTATGCTACAAGATTCATTGTAATTGAACAATTTGTGCTAGGGTTCACTGATGACTAAACCTGGAACGCTAACATAAGGATAGGGGATTTGGAGAATATTTGGGAAGAGGTCCTTGAAACCAAGAATTCGGTTGATAGTGATC